ACAGGTGTGGAAAATATTCATAAATTTTCCAATGCTATAGTGCCTAATAGGTGTTTAAGGTGCGATAAAGGTCCAAAAATGTATTGAAAATAGGATAGAACAAGAGTTCCCTTTGCGCATGCGCGGATGTGCGGGGGGTAGAGGTCACTGGGGCATGGGAGAGGCGGGAGTGAGTGTTTTGAATGTAGTGAGGAGGCTGGGAAAGCATGGAACCAGGAAAATTTGGCATTCACAGCAGCCATGGAATTAAATATAGGCCACACTTCATAATAGGAAGTGTAGTGACTGTCCTGGTGAAGAGTGAGGGAAAACGTGATTGATGGCCACCGCCTGTAATTAAGATGGTTAAAAATTAGTGAATAATGGTAGGACCGGGTGGTGACTGGGTGTCGCCATGACTGTGTTCCGAGGAAAATTTACCGTGATTTAATCATCACTATTGGTCTCAAATCTTAATGGAGTGGCCTCAAAAATTTGTTTGGTTTTATAATAATTATGAGACATTAAACCGTCTTGTAAATCGCAATGTAATCAGTGATAATAACACTAAGTTAAGGAATCAGGAGAAGCGAATGAACTGCCATTCCGAGAGTGTGTGGCACATGTTTACCTGTTTGTTCCTGTCCGAGGATAGTGAAGGCTTTATGGGAGTCATGACTTTAAACCTGGACAAACCGACAGATTACCTGTCCTGCTGAATAAGAACGTGTCGGTGTAGCAGGACATCGAATTGAGATGGTGGATGGAGGAAATAAGGAGTATCAACACCCATAGTTAAGTAATCCCTTTAGTTATAGCAGACTGATACTGGCCACCTGTTAGGTTTGTTGTATTGGAAGGTTATGAGTGATCCAGTACATCATGTGACCACCAGAGAATATATGGTAAGTGGTGAATTATGTACAAGTGTTATTCCTTGATGGATATATCCATGTGTGAACCTGCCCCCCCCCCCCCTTTCATTCAGTTACATAATATAATCTATACAGTCCACAATTAATTAGTAGCGCCTACTTGAGGGTGCTACCCAGATTTATACTGGTCTCGGATAGATATGGATAAGATGTGTGGGGTCGTGGGCCATCAGCGCACAGTGACAGAGGTGGTTAAGTTTTCTCACATGTCTAAGGGAGTGACTACGGTAACAATATAGTTGTTGTCTCCCAAGGAGATTACTCGTATGCATTGTTAATGTTGAAGTATGTACAAGTAATCAACCCTAGAAAGTTTTTTATTCGTTGCCAACTCCTACTCCTTGGCAAATACCACATATGACGGGGTTCCTACCCTTCTTTCTAATTATCTCTATTGCTGACCTATTCCTGTAATCTGGTCCTCACTCCTACGTACTGCCAACATTGTTGCCTCCCGCACTGAGGCGAAATAGGAATTGCTCCATTACCTTTCATTGATGTCGACAGATGGCTAACAATATTCTTCCTTCTCTGCCCCAGGAAAACATACCCTGTGCTTCCTCTTGCTGTCCCTTCGACAAAAAGCCCTATCCTAAACTTACCCTGACTGTCTCAAACTAAAACAATGTTCTTACCTTCATTTTGGATTTGTCGTGACGTCTTGATGGTCTCCTTCATTGGGGTATCAAGGGATGTTCATTCACGTCTGCACAAATGCTCCCTTGGTGCTAGTTGTGACGTTCCAGTAGAAATCCACATTCATCTGGTAACACCAAAAATGGGTTGGAGTCTCCACAGCAATCTTCTGGATCTTCATTGTTTCCGCCACTCCTACAGACTCTTGATTTTCAGCTTTGTTCATGTTGGCCCGGCCACTGACCAAGTTCCTCTCTTGACCTGAGGACTCACAACTGGAGGAATTACTTCGAATCTCTTGTTTTCTCCGTAGGGCAGTATCTCAAGCTTAGCAACCGTAAGCTCCGCTGTTCAGCTGCTTGTACAGTTGCTCAAATGAGAGGAATTCTTGTGCAGATTCTCGGAGAACACACTGGACAGAACTTCACAGAAGCTAAGTTCACGTCACACTGACGTGTAAAACATAAATTTACGTGTAATGGCTCCTCCTTTTTTCTAGTAATGACCTCGTATTGTAAGAGTCTTATTGACACTCGGGTAGTAGTAGATAGTCTTAATAGTATGATAATAAGATGTTATCTTTATTATAGAATAATAATAAGATATTATCACCTTTATAATAAGGTAAAAGGACCCCAATGGAAATAAGTCACTCTGCTTTTTTGGTTATCTAGATACTTTACAACATATACAAAGTTGATTCAAATTCAAAGTTTATTTCTATATGGATTACAATGCTGTGTGGTTTAATGTAGTAAATAATAATTACAGAGTGTGTACCACTAGAACACTTAGCATGGCTAGGCATTTCGGGCAGACTTAGATTAAATGTTAAGTTTAAAATATTACAAAATTATGAGGTAAGTTGGTATTATGGATAAGTGAATAAATAACTGTTGTGAGTTTAGCAATTGTGAATGCTTTTGTTTTGGCACTATACATAGTTCAGTTATTGGTGGTATCACAAGGCCTAAAATCTGGAATTCATCTACCTGTAATATAAAGAAACACTACCTGTTTATAAATTCATGTCTTTTCTCAAAGATCACTTACTCACCAAAAACCAAATGAATACTGAATAACTGAACCTTATAATTTGTATATCTTAATGTTTCTCCACACTTATATCACATAAATGTTAAAACCTAAAGACCCATATCTAACTTTATTATTTTTTTTAAATACAGTACTAATACAGAATTACTCCATTCGTCTGAATGTACAACAATGAAAGCAACCATATGGACCTGTCATTGTAATACTCATTAGAGTTTGATTGTTATCTGTTTTATCACTGATTATATCATTGCTTAGGTATTCTTAAGTTAATTTTTAAGCAGCCCGTAATGCTATGCTTACAGTGCTTTGGCATGCTTGCTCTTACCTGTACTTTTTTGTTACCTCTGTATGTATGCTCAAATTACTAAAGAAATAAACAAATAAATAAATTATTTTGAGATTGAAATTGTATTTCTGTTTAAGATCAAATGGGTTGAGTGTAAGTGTTAACCACCATGGTGGTATTCGTATTATTAGTTGACTGGGTGTATCACCCGGTGATAAGATGTTTTCTGATAGGTAGTTTTGAAGGTGATGAATGTGTCTGCTGTTTTGGGAATTTTCAGTTAGGGTGTTCCAGATTTTTAGGGGCCTTTGAACATACATTGAATTTTTGTAATGGTTTTGTCGGACACGGGGAAAGGAATGTCATAGAGTGTTTGTGTCTGGTGTTGTGCTGTGGGCTCAGTCAAAACTATCAAGGAAAGCGTTTTTAGGTCAAGTTTATAGTGGAATTTTAAGTCCTGTAGATGTAGTTGCACAGTAGTAAGTGGTGGATGTACTGAACAGGGAGTAAAGTTTAGATCTTGAAGAGTGGGGGGTGTGTTTGTTGCCAGGGATGGATTTAGTGATTATTCTTACTGCGGCTTTTTGTTGGGTTATTATATTGGCTTTAGGTGT